AGATCAGCCCAGAGGTTGTTTCAGGGTTCAACATTAAACATCAAAGTTATTAGTGTTATTCCCAACTGACTAATTTGCAATTTAATGGTAAACCTAATTCCTTGCTTCTTCTTAGGTGGCCTGCCGATCTGTCAGTTCGCATGTTTCTAATCTCAAGCCCTCAAAGACAGGTATAAATTGTTGATTCATTTCAATATAGTTGAGTACCTAAAGTATTCCTCCCTCCCTCCCTCCCTCCCTCCCTCCCTTCCTTCCTTCAATCTTCCCTTCCTTTCTTTCTTCCCAAACTGATTGACTTTCTCACTCATCAATCAATAATGGCGTCGAAATTTCTCTTGTCTTCAGGCTGTAACATTAGCATCCGGAATCATCATCACCTTGTTCTCCTTTGCTTTGGTTATCTTCATTCACCGAAAAGCTGAGCTGCTATTTACACCAATAGACATTCCATCCAACCCAGACGCAGACAGCTAATTATCAATGAATTTACCTTATCAACACAATGACAGCTCACAGTTATTGTAATGTACTGGACGTATAGTCAGAATTCAAGTTCACATTTAAAATTTTTTTTTGAGATAAGAATTTGTGTGTCTGGGGTGCTTACCATTTACCCACAAAAACAGGAAATTCCGGTTTGAAAACAAATAGTATGTGTTGTTCCAATGAAAAATTGGTCTTGTGAACTTGAGGTAATCCACTTTTTTCGCTAGCCTAATCAGTTCTTTTGTAGAGGTGTGTTGTACCATTTTTCGAAAATCAAAGTTTCCCGCTCTTTTCTTACCATTAGCGAATGAATTCCCAACCGGAGGGTTTGGTTTAAGATGGTAAGCATTCCTGATTACGAAAATGTGGCTGTATTTTTGTTTCAATTTTAGTCATAAAAAATCACTCGTTTCTTGCTTTTTACTTCATCTTTCAATTATTTATCTCTTGCAATCCACTTGCATCATTTCTAGAAAATTGTGATTGCAATGCCATAGTTTTTTTTTTTGTTTTTTTGTTTTTTTGAAAAAAAATTAACATCCTTTGAATTTTGATTTATTTACAAAGAAATTTATTAATTTCCTACTTTTACAGTAAGGAAACTTGAACTGTGAACACAGTTCTGTGAACAGTTTTGTCACGTGTTCACAGTTCAAGTTCTCTGTTGCCCACAATAAGCCTCGATTTCGTGTAGAGTATTCACGTGTTCCAATGAAGATCCGTGGAGTTTCAGTGTTCGTATTGTTGAAGTGGTGCATTCTTTACTTTACCGTTGGTATTTGTGAATATTTAGACTCTGATATGAGTCTTAGGCGGCCCTGTCCACACGTATCCGAAAATTTTTGTATCCGAAAATTTTTTTTCGGATACGAAAATGTTTGCGATTGCTTCTCCGTTGCACCGTGTAGACACTCTTTGCAACTTGTGTCGCATCGTTGTTGCGAGACAAGTTGCAGAGAAAATCGCTCCGTGTAATCTCGCTTTGCATTGCGACACTTTTATAATGCATTGTATTTAAGCGCCATTGAACTTTAGGATTTTGGGGCTATATAAATGATTTATTCTTATTCTGACTTATAGCGGCTGCGTAGGAGCCCCGGCCAACTCTAAATAACAACTGATCCATAGAGGATATTACATGGGCATGCGGAGATAAGAAATTTATCTTCTCGTGTTAAAAATCTCTCACTCGTTCGCTGCGCTTACTCGTGAAAGATCTTTTCAAAACTCGAAGATAAATTTCGTATCTCCGCGCGTCCATATAATATTCTGTTTATTATACAATTATCCATAAAATCATCTTAATGACCTTTTTATTATTCTAAATAGTTTTTATTTATAAACTATTAGTACATACATGGTACCGATATTTTCACATTTATAGTACACTCAACAAAATTACTCGACTCTGATTGGTCGAGAGGAGTACAATTATAGCGTTAATTGTACTCCGTAGGAGTACCAAATTAAGTCGCTATGGCAACACGGCCAAAACAATGTCAAAATAAATATTTTCTATCATTTTGTACTTAAAAAACATATAAAGAAAATATTAAAGCCGTAAGAACTAATGTTTTTTATGCATTTCAGTTGCGCGATGGACTGAAAATCGGCCGCCAAATAGACAAAGATGAACGGCGTCGCTTCGCATTTTTTACTGAAATTTTGTTGAGTGAACTATAAACAAAAAATCGCACGATCTTCTCTTACAATTTGGAATTAATAGACACTCGTAATGTTTTGAAAGTTCTTTAATTGCACTCGCCTAAAGGCTCGTGCAATTACAAGAACTTACAAAACATTACTCGTGTCTATTAATTTCCAAATTGTACTCGAGATCGTGCGATTTCCTATACAAATATTAGCATTTATGGATAATTATATGATAAAAAAATTATTACTATAAATTAAAGATACTTCTAAAGGTGAGGTATTATGGGCAAAAAATACGCGCAACTTCTAGCGCAACATTGCTGTGTTGCAAGTTGCAGAGCGAATGTTACTCATATTACCACTCCGCGCGCAACAAACTTGCACTGTTACTCTCTTCATTTTCTTGCCCACATTGCCGCACCTTTAGACTGTAATGATGTAAATATAAGATCAATATTGGTATAATCAATGTGTAGCATCATAAAAATAAATAAATATTTGTTTTAAGCAGAGTGGCCATGTTACAACTCAAACTTACGAGGCTTGTAGTACGTACAGGAAGAACTTCCAATGCAGTTCTCTCGTCTGTCAATTTAAAAACTTTGTTTAATTTATCCGCTTCTTTTGTACCTGGGCATTCCCGGCTTCTTCTCTCCCCGTCCTCAATCTTCCCCGTCCCCAACCAGGAACGCCTGCATTGCTTTGTCGTTATGTTAAGGACATGAATCTTTAATGTTTTTGAAGGCAACAAGGAGATGAAAATTTCTCGTATAATATACGATACAAATTATTACAACATATTTTTAACACACCGACCCAATACAAGGACGACCCAATACAAGGACGACCCAATTAAATAATTTGGTTAACAATGGGGTAAAATATGGACTATGGCCAGTAGTCGAAATCCAGAAGAAGTCTTTGGAGTAACATCAGGAAGAACCAACCATACAAGACTGACAAGACTGCTGATATGTGGAGGAACTGCGATTTTAAGAGAGTTATTCGATTTTATCCATCCACCAGCAAATCTTTCAACTGTCTTGACAAGTAAACGTTCAACGCTAAAACAAATGAAAAGGAGGGGGTTTTTAACCGTTCCTCAATGGAAAATTTTATTTCCGTCGCCTGGTACTTGTGGTCAGTCGAAAAATTTTGATATTACTTTGCTTTGTAAACTTTTTAGAAATATCTGCAGCCTAATAGCGCCGGTTACTGGTTGGGACAGTCTGCCAAACAGCACGGATCTTTCTTTAACAGCTGATTTAGCTAGAATTAAAAATTTTCGAAACGAAATTCATGGACATGTGAATGAAGACATGGAACTGAGAGACGAGGAATTTCTTGGCCTCTGGAATGAGATAAAAGACGCTTTAGTAAGGATTGTTAAGTACTATACTACAAGTGGCTCAACTTCAATCACAGATTGGGAGAATGCTATTGAAAAACTGCTAAATGCGCCTCTAACTGACGAAGATGAAATGCACCTTGAAGAATTAGAGCACTGGTATCTGGAGGATATGGAGGTTAGGAGAGCAGTAGATCAAATTGGAAGAACAGCAGAAGAAACCAGAAGAGCAGTAGAACAAATGACAACTATGATGGGAACAGGTTAGTTATTGGAAGATAAAATATAATTCATTGTCATGAGTATTTACAGGAGTACAATTACAGCAGGGAAAGGTGTGGCTATATATAGATAATATTCTCCCTATTCATTACCCACTTGTGGTATTAAAGTGGTTCACCTTTGTAAACTCTGCTTGATGCTAATATTCCAGTATTTTTCATTAGTCTCAGTGAGAATTAGGATCTTTATTAAGTTTTGTAATGTTTGAATTGGCACCTGATCTGAGCCTTAACCAATAACTATAGTAGCAGCTGGCCTATACTAATAGATAATTACTTCAAAGATGCAGTGGCCATCTTGAATCGCAAGGCATTGTGGGTCATCCAGGAAGCAAATAGACAAAGCTTTGTTACAATAATGATAATATCTTTATTTACCCTGATTTAAAAAACCGATCAGCTGGAGACGATAGAACAGCTGGTATGAACCGGTGATCAGCAATATAAAATCTATAAAAATCTAAATAAAATCTATACTAAAATCTGCGATTAAGAACCTAAAAGTATAAATATAAGAAAAGAGAAAATTGAGTATAATATATACATATATATACAGAAACACGAAAACCCCGCATCCACAAAAGATAATGGCACAGATTGACATTTACAGTTCACAACAAGGCAATTTGACAAGAGATGAATTAAAATAAATAAACAATCCACAACTGAGGAAATTTCTCAGTAACATGAGGTCATCATTTCAGCATCTTTGTTTTGTTTTGCCCCCTGGGCAACAGATAATGCCTTGTGATTCAGGATGGCTGCCACATTGTTGATGTATTCCATTGGTCATACATTGAGGAATATTAATGAATTATTTGTTGTTTACCAGACAGAGCCAGAGAGGGTTTGCAGCAACCAGTTGTACAAGCACAACAGCAAGAACAGATACCACATGTACAACCAGGTAATTCCTTGTAGTCTCATACTCTGGCAATTTAGTACTTAGCAAACACTGTGGAATGTAGCTAGTAAGAGGATCACTGAGAACAGGAAAAACTCTTAGCTTCATTACCCAAACCACATTTTACAGATACATATTCATGGTACAAATTATTTTGTTATGATACTGCTTAGCAAAATAACACAGGTGATTACAAAAATCCACTAGCCGGTTTGTCAACGTTATGGAGGAAATGTGCTTATATATTTCTATTTTTTTGAATAATCACCTGACTGTGTTACTTCATTAAAACAATCAGTAATCTCGGTCTCAGTGATTATCAAGAAATTACCTCGAAGACTCTTGGCTCGGTAAATATTCCTCGATAATCACCTCGACTTCAGTGACTAATGGTAAAATACGAATTCAAAAGTAGAGCAAATGTCATATGATTTTGAAAATTTTTTGGTACTCCAACACAATTGAGGTTACTTTTTTATGACAGAGGTGGTTATCCAGTGCCTGTTTAAATTTGCTTCTGGAGCACTGTGGCTTGCAGGAAGTACAGTTATCATGAACCAATATAGGGATGATTTAGAGGCCTTGAAAACAGTCCTCCAGGATGTGGTGTTTCCTACTGGAGTCTTAGTCTATAAAATCATATTTGGCTCAATCAAACTGGTTACAAAAGTAACATCATTGGATGCCCTTACAGAATTGTGGGAGAGGTAAGACATGCATATGATCATGAAGTTACTAATGATATGAAAACTAAAATTCATGGGAAACATGGATGGCGTAGCAGTGAGAGCTTCGTCTCTCACCAACAGACCCAAGTTTGAAAGTCTTAGAGAGTGATGGGACCCATATAATTAGATTCAAAAAACCCTTAATTCAGTTAATTAGTTTTTGGTCCTGTTACTAGAGAGGTAAGCTTCTCGTTTACGGCAAACATGAAACATCAGTTGACCATTAAAAAATTCTTTAAAATTAGTGAAAAGGAATCTCAATGATCTCCAAGTAGTAGATAAAAATAAGAATATTTGTCTTTGTCGGGAAGGTTTGCAAAAGGTAAAGTGAAATGTAGAGAAATGATGAAAACGTGGTCACGTTTGCCGTTTGCGGGAAGGAAAAACAGGAGTCTTAATCTGCCTACTGTTAACCCTTATACTTGATAAGTTGATAAATTTTTTTATAAATTACTAATGTGTAGTTCCAAAAATTATCCATACCCCCCTCACGGAGGAATTGTTTAAAGGCACCCCCCTACATCCCAGAAATTCCAATTTTCTTCCATACAAACTCTGTAATTTGTTTTTTCTCTGACCCCCCAACTTCTCGGAAATTCAAAATTCCTCTGTGGGGTGGGTATGGATAACTTCTGGAACTACACATTCAATACATTATTTCTATATTTACTTTCCTAGCTATAATAAATAAATTTCATTACTTAATGTTATTAGTATTTTTTGGTAGAATACCAGGGCTTGTGCCACTCCTCAAATTCCTTGTAAACTAAAATCTGAAATCTGGAGGGAACTTAATTCTAATTTGATCTCGCAATCAGAGGGCTGTATCTTAGATAACTCTTTGTGGTTTTATACTCCTTTACCATCTTTAAAAAAATTTTTTTTTTTTTTTACTTCTGTCCTATGTGTTAACTACATTTATTTTGTTTCAAGATACAAAGAGGGTCAATTGAAAACTGATTTGGAGAAAGTGTTATTGACAAAACAGCTAATAGCCATGGCACAAAGTGATGTAGAAATAACTGTCCATATTAATGAAATAGAATACTTGAGAGCTCAACATGAACTGCAAACAAAAGGTATTTGATAATTATCAATAAGTAATGAACATTAATTCACCTTAACATTATTTTTCTTGCTATATCTTGTAAGATATTTCAGATAAACACTACTCCTATTCATCATTCCGCTCCATGTCCTATTCACTCATGTCCTGTCGACACAGTCTCTGATCTAATAAGCCTGCAAACAAATATTCTTTTACAACTACCCATCCCCCCCTCCCCCCATATCATGGATAGTCTTGACCAAGCTAAAAGTACTATTGAAATAGGTATTGCATTCTAAGGGCTTGTTACTTGAATTAATTGGCTTCTTTGTTCCCTCGATAAAATTTCGAAAGCACCCCATACCTGTTAGACTAAAAGGTTTAATAGTGCAATATAACCTTAATCAACGATAATCGTAGACTGTGAGCAGACCCTGTATTTCCCTTGGCCACTGTTGCTATCCTGTACAAATGTAGACTTTAATCAGCTCATTGCACAGGTTTTTTTAAACGCACAATTTCAGTGATTTTGATTGAGCTTCTGACCTGCGGAAGGCCGAACCAAAAGGAGAAAAAGTAAAATAAAAATGAGATAAAAATAAACGCCGAACCAAAAAAGAGCCTAACTGTAAGACATTTTTATTTATTTATTTATAGTTATAAAATACCTGTTATGAATCTTGCTTTCTGATTGGATGGGAGTGCGTGCTTTACGACAGCACACAGTACGCACGCGCATTTTCTATTTTGTCATTCGTATCCAAAATAACGGTTACTCTAATTTGTATTTTATAAAAGAAATAAAACCCTTGCTTGCTGTGCTGTGTGGAGTTGTAAGTTACTTGGGGAGTAGCAGATCACTCGAGATGTGTTGAGAAACACTCCGCTTTTGTTTTTGTTTACATTCTCAAGGTGTTTCAAGTGGCAGTCGTCACCTTGAAAGGAATAAAACGGATTCAGCATGGGAAAGACTACCAAAACTGACAACGACGAATACCCAGAAACCCCTTCAAAGCAGTAATCAGGCATCCCCTTCTTCAACTAAGTCTTGCATTAGACATTCAGTGTTACGTACCGTCAGCCATGAAGATTCCACAGCTACACAACATGACGCATCACAGTCTCTAATCGCAAAACCTAGTAATGTTGAACAAGATAGTGCAAAGGCCACAGGAAGTGAGACTGAGGAGATAGGAACCGAGACGGAACTTCCTCCATCATACGAAGGCGCATTTCAGACTGTTAGTAAACAAAAAACCTTTTGTTTGCCAGAAGGAGTGGAAGTCATCTGTGAGCATTTCGAGAGAGAAGTCTTTGCACACCCCCAAAACAGTTCCAAAATTCCTAAGGTTTGTCTGAATTGCCAAAGATGCCCTACAAGATGCAAGTACGCATATTGGAGCAAAGAGCAAAAGAAGTGGATATCTGTGCGGCGTGTTCCGTCAATCATGCGCCCAACTGGAAAGCAGATCCTTTGTTGTCGTCATGTTCAAAGTGGAAAGACGTGCTTCCCATCCTGCACTTTTGCGCATGGACCGGAGCTACAGATGTGGGATCTAGAACGCAAAGGAGGTGATAAAATTGATGTCTTAATTACACGTGTTTTTACAATTAGGCAACCCTAGATTTCCAGACGCCTAGAGCTTTTGCCAGCTGTTTGGGTTGCCTTATTATGAAAACGAGTCAGCTAATAGTAAAAGTGATAAATTCTTCATGACTACGAAAGCACAGTTGTATGGATTGCATATAACACAACTGCACATGAGTTGAAACCATTGTTATAATCAGGCAAAGCCGCATGAGCCTACAAGACTGGATACGCAACCTTCTTTAGAATTATCTCGTCATTCCTATATAACATCGGGAATATTAGTGGAACAAGAAAGGTTATAGCAACGATACAATTAACGCTTAAGGTGACTACCTACTTTTGGACGTTCGATTTGAGCCCGCAATGTACGCGCGCTCAAAATACGCTGAATAATTTTCACGATTTTTTTTTGAAGAACCATGACACGTTTTGAACTTCAAGATGACAAAACTCTCAAATTTTGCACGGGACTCTATACTTTATTTTAGGTTATTCGAAAAAGCTCCTAAAAATCTAGGTCATATCAATTTTTTAAGAAAAAGTTGATTTTCGTAACACACGAAAAAATAGATTTTTGTAGGGATTTTTGTTCGACTTTATGAGAGTTTTTGAGAGAACTGAAAAAACAAAATGTGACAAATCAATGTTTGTTTTTTTGTCAGAAATATCCACGTATTATTGTAGAATGATTGACCAGCCGTCATTCGTGCAAACATAGAGTCGGCAAAGAACTTTTAACCTTTTTTTTTTCTTCTCAGATATTCACTGAGGGGGGGAATTTTTGCTTCAAAATCTCGCGTGTAGGCATCCGTTAAATGCTGATTATCTCGAAAACAAGCTCGGGACACCACTTTTTTCTTTTCATATTTGGAATCGCCATTAAATTTCACTCGTAAGGAACGTAGTTTAAGAAAAAGTTTAATCTTTTTCCAAAAGTTGCCAGTCACCTTAAAAAAGAATATGTATGTTGTTGAATCACTGTTGTCATGCAGTTTCCTATTCTTTGCAACTCGAGTACCAATCTTGCTAAAAATGTCCCCACGGTTCTCTTTCACCATGCTGTTTTATTTCACCATTCTCGACCCATATTTTCCTCAATATGAATTCGGCTAACAGACATCCCTTTCTTCTTTTAAGTTCTGCCATCACCAGAGACACATCTGAAGAATAAAAAAATCTCTCTATATAATGTAGTAACACCAGATTCATCTAAAAGAGATACTGCGCCTGAATACATTATAGAGAGACCAAAAGGATGCCCAACAGAGAAAATTTCAGGAAACAATAGAACACCGATTCAAACAACGAGGGTCCAATCTTTAAGTGCTAGCAATATATGCCGTCTACCAACGGGTGTAAAGATTGTTTGTGATGATTTCATAAAAAACTTCAAATCTTATGGTGGACGGGCTGTCGAGCGAACAACAAATGTCTGTGATAGTTGTAAGAAGAAATGTCAGGAAAGGCATCCTTTGGTGCGCTCGTTAATACGATATGCCTTTTGGAGCGAAGGGTTTAARCAATGGTTTGTGATCAGAACCTATCCAAGGGGAGWGCTCCGTRTTGCCTTCCGACAATGCAAAGATTTAAAAAATAACAGGCTCTGTACTAGAAGCGAATGTACTTTTGCTCATGGACCCGAGGTATCTATGTGGACTATGGAACGAGAAGGAAGTGAGTACAATTTTATTTTATGTTTGACTTTTTTTTTTTTTTGCACATCAAAACGCAACAGTTGTTATTCCTAGAAGCTATGCCTTGAAGGCATGCATATATATATTTTGATTAAGTTTATTCTTTTTAAAGCGATCCAAATGGGTCCATTATTGGCCTCAATTGAATGCCGGTCTAGCTATGTAGGGACATTTTAATCAATTTTTTATTATACATGCATACATAGAGATGAATGAATATCTTTCTTATCTTTATGCCGCAGATGTCTCTTTTTCCCTCCCTTGCCACAAGGGCTTTTATCCGCATTCACCGGTTTCCCTACTTTCCCCCGCCGCCGTTCTGTCTAGTGGGGAGGGAGCGTTGCGTGACGACACTAAAAATAGCTATCGGAAAGCATATGGTTTTTCTTCCTGCCATAAAAATCTACATTTAATTTCATAGAGTATTGAATGTCGCAGTAGTACGTGGTGTGAGTAAAAGCCGGTGGGTCATAATGGAAACCATTGGATATCAATTATTCACCCTCTATAAAACGAGGATTTGTTTATTGTCAACACAGTAAATCTCTGGTTTTGTTTTTTAGCGCTTGTTCCAGCATGGGAGGCTTTGTTTCGTACTATCGTATATGTATCAAGTAATGAACTAATGGCTGTTGTACGGCCACTCCCCCATGGAGCTTTAAAAGACGATTTGAGGCTATGCATGAGGTAAGTTGATTATGTAATAATACCTGTATATTTGATTAAAGGTGTGTCTATTAAAATGCCTTGCCTTGCCTTGCCTTGCCTTGCCTCGCCTCGCCTCGCCTCGCCTCGCCTCGCCTCGCCTCGCCTCTGAAAGAGTATTTGACACTATGCAAGAGGTTAGTTTAGTGATTAAATGTAATAATACCTCATGATTGTATGATGTTTGATCTTGTCCAGCCGTGCCTTGCCTTGCCTTGAGAATGATGATATAACATCGCCAACTATTCCGGTCATGCGCCCGCGTACAAATGCAGCGGTGTCGCTTGAAAGTGTTAGGCGAGTTAAGTCAGATTTTACAAGGAAATGTATAGAGTCAAGATAGTTTTCGATTTATAAATTTCTGTGTAAACAGCTTTCCACTTGCCGGGGTAGGAGATCAATATATAACATTAATGCATTTGATTTTTACCAAACATACTTTAATTTGTTTCGAAAAACCTTTTCGTCTCGATAGTTAGATTTTAACAGCCTTCTTGCCATATGTGCTTTGTTAAATTGTAAGAAAAGCACAAAAGGTCAAATATTATAAACAACATTTCTCAAAATCAGAGCTAGTTACCTCATTTGCCGGAGTCGATCCTTAAAATACACACATTCTAAATTACTGATGTCGAATCTGGTGGTCGATTGAACGAATTTATACTTTTCGCTTTTTACTTTCGAAAAGCTCCGATTTGAGACGAATATTTGTGAGATCATTCTGCAAGAATAGGCACTTTGTGAAGCAAAAACCTTGAAAATTATCCGCAAAATACGGCATGTTTGGTAGCAAAATAAAGCTTGAATCCTCAGCTCTCGTTTGCCATAGGATAATGTAATAGGATACCTATTAAGCACAGGAATACCGTAGCAAAAAGTTTTGTTTCTGTAAGTCCGGGCCTGAGAGAGCTTGGGCTTCCTGTGGTTTTTATTTTATACATTATATCCGCTGACTTGCCGAGCGGCGCATGGCCGGAATAGTTGGCGATGAATCGCGACACATTAGGTTATAGGTACGGTCAAAGAAAGTCATATGTCACAGTAAACGTTTTAGTTTTATTTTACAAGACCACATGTTTTTTTAATCAAATGAAACATATTCTTCACACCCCCTTCCCTCCTCCCTCGTTATTATTGCTCAAGAACTTACTACATACAAAAATCCGGTCAGAAAAGAGTAGGTGGGGAGTGACACCAAGGCTGCTTATTTTTTTCGTAGCGTGCAGTCAAGAATAATTTGCAGATTTGGACGAGGCTGTCGTTTTGCACATAGTGAAACTGAACTGGACTCCTGGAAGAAACTCTTCGAAGAAAGACTAAAAGAACGGAGAGAAATAAGAATACCATACAGCGAGCACTTCTTAAAGCATCATGAGCTTCAGGTAAGACCAAAACAAAGACATCAAGTAAGCTGCTTGGTTGCATTACGTTTTTTAATTTGTTTTCCTACTTATCTTTTAGTGTAAAGACTCCATTCCAGGGGTTAAGCTCACATGTAACCCCGTAGTCCCTAATGTACAGCTTGCCGAGGACTGCGAAGACCATTCCTACACATGGGAATTTTGTGCTCGTTTTGAGGTACAGTTAATCACAGGCAGTCCAAACATGGTTCCCGTGTACACTGTAAAAACTGCCGGGTTGAAACAACCAAAAAACTTTGGTTAAATTTATGCAACTGAGAGAACCAGTTTTTTAATGGTTAACATAGCCTTTTATGTGATCCAGAAGTACATTTCAAATCGACCAATGTTATTCCCTGTGGACAAGTTTTTAACATCACGTGATCAAAATTCATTCAAGTTTTAATCACGTGGTGTAAAAAACATGTCCACGTGGTATAACATTGGCATCACGTGGTCGATTTGAAATGTACTTCTGGATAACATAACAGACGCTACGAAGACGATTAACTGCCTTGGTCTACTGGGAAGAGTAGTATATCTTGTTACCTTAGATAGACAGGAATAACTCCCAAAAAATTGTCGTTGGCGAAAACGAATGTTTCGTCTGTAATATTTCATCTGAAAAGTCTAATAGAGTATAGCTTTAAAGCCTACCATGTATAAATAAAAAAATTTATTACGTAGAAAATCCAACCACAAGACTAGCTTCATAACACACATTGATTTGATAAGGTTGTAATCATTGTTTATTCGTGCATACATCCTCTTGAAATCTACTGAAATCAGTGGTATAGTCTTGATTCAGTCAGCACAGTCTGCCATTTTACATGTATGCATTTATTTAATAACTATGTGCACTTTAAAATACAAATCAATTTATTTTGCTACACATATTTTACATTTAACTTTATACATATTACATAATTATCGTTTTAGTTTTTGTAAGAGCCTGAGGGCTATTTAAATAGTTTTAACAGTATTTACACTTACTAATGCCTAATAACATGGGCTTCATCCACAGCCACAGCTCTTACGTTTATTGCTTTAAACCTTCGTCGAACGCCATTTGGAATTTCGACTGCGACTAACCAATCAGAAGCTACTTCCCGGGATATGGAAAGTTTGCTCTGATTGGCCGGTTCAGACAATAGCTCGTGCGTAATGGAAACTAATTAGCAACTCGGTTCAGCAGGCTAGTTTTTCGCGAGATAACCGAGCGTAAAAAAATCGAGTCTGCAAAGCAGGCTAATGCAACTGAGACAACCAGTTTTTTTAGGTTTCTTCCTGTTAATTTAACCAAATATGTTATGCTTAAAATTCAACTGTTAAAATCTAGCTTCGATTTTTAATGGTAGAAAACAATAACGAGCGAACATGCAACGCAATTTTTACTCCAAAAGCTCGTGCGTAGGCTTCCATTAAATGCTGATTATCTCGAAAACGAGCTCGGGACACCCTATTTTTCTTTCCAGATTTGGAATCAGCATTAAGAGGCTGTTCTTGTAAGAACCTCATAACCAATTTGGGTGAAAAAACAGATTTCTTTCAAACTTTGTGTGTGAGTGTGCCCTTGCTGGTCAGCGGCTTTTACTACTAGATTATTAGAAAAGAGTAACTACAAGATGAACTCAGGAAAATAACGAGGCAGTTTTTTTAAACTAATATCCTCGATAAAGTTACAAGAATAATGTTTTAGYATGTTACTATATTCAAAGACTTCATTGAGGACGAAATGGAAGACCAAAAGTGGATACTTCTGGGCCTAAATGTATCAACATGACAGTTGTATCGAACTGCAGATGATGACTCTTTTTCAAAGGCATGTTTATCTAGATTATTTGGATTTCTTTTTTAATTGTAGGCAAAATATGAACAAATAATCTTGTGATTTGTTCATCGATTGATGTTTGTGCATCGTGCAAATARTTTACAGTTATTCATTTCGAGTGAACTTATCGTTGTATTTTATGACAGTATACAGCATTTTACCTTACAGTTAAGGCATGTTGTGAAATCAGTCTTTCGATTCCAATACTGTTTTCTAAAACCGTTTTTTACGATTTGTGTGGTTAAAATGTTTTAAAAATATATTAGATCAGTTTAAACAATGAATTTATATACATTTAAAGATAAATCGCATTCAAAACTATTTGCACCTTTTTCACGTATTACATTAAATCTCAAAAATACTGAAAGTTTGTCGACCTGTTCACTTCTCAAAACCTGCTGGCCGCAAAATATTATTTYAATTTCTGTAAGAACTACCTTTTATCTCTGCAGTACTCAAATATTATAGTCCTACGAAGTCTAACTTTTGAGTTTTGATTTTTTTTCCTAAGCCATATTTTAGCCAACTGGCCAAAGTCGATTATGGATGGTCGGTAAAATTAAAATATCTAGATATAAATAAGTTCATATTTAACTTTAAGGCTACTCAACTTTGCATAAGATATATGTCTACTATAATATGGAAGGATTTAGTGTTGTGATGATTTGTTATGGATTTACGAATTTTTAAACATCGCCCAAATTTCATGAATGAGAAGTAGTCAAAATCACTAATTTGGCCCCCAAGGGGACCCCCCCTGAAACTTTGCAAAAAAGCGCCGAGACACAAAACAAAGTGTGTTTTGGAAATAACCTTGGAAGGGCACACTCACACACAAAGTTTGAAAGAAATCTGTTTTTTCACCCAAAATGGTTATGAGCTGGTTCTTACAGAGACAGCCTCTTAAATTTCAATTCGGAAAATCGAAGTTTTAAAAAAAGCTTAAATCAATTTCCAAAAGTAGGCAGTCACCTTAAGAATAGAGCTTTTATCCTATTTTTTAAAGACCTTGACAGTTAGACACAGTATATTTTTGTGTATACTTGGATAGTTATTAAATGTGTGATTTTTTTCGAGCACACCAACAAGAGGTCTAGTAGCTCAGCTGATTAGAGCGTCCGTTTTGTTTGGTTGCAGTATTAATAACCTTATTGGTTATTTTATCAACCAATGAGAAATTGGTTGTAATGGCTGTTTTAATCGGTTATAAGTATGCAGGTTATTTTAAGCAAAAAAAAAAGTACAGCCTTGAATATAGGGTTTCTCGAACTGTGATTGGTCGAGCGACCGGTGATTCTGAGACGATAATCACTGCCCGCGAGCGGTGATTATGAGGCTTCCCAAAGTTTTCCAATGCGGAAATAATACTAAAACGTTTTTTTATCCTGATTTTTGACTTTTCTCAATATTCAATTCTAAAATTATGCTAAGACAATTATTCCCCTCAGGCTCAGTGATTATGGTGAATATTCCACCGATGATCACTTCGCCTAATTGTTAAATAACAACCATATTGAAATTGGTAATTTTATTTACCAATAAGAAATTGGTTGTAATAACCGTTTCATAAAAATCCGTTAAATTTTATTTCAAAGTTACTTTATAATCATATGCTTTGTTTTCTTGCAGGTAACGTTGGGCCTTCCAACCGTTGAACTATTGAATTTTCGTTCAAACTTCCATTTTACAAAGATCAAAGTTGTGGGATTTGATAGGGATAACAAAGCTACTACTATTTTGTCTAAAGAGCTCAAAGCGTCGGTGTATATTCCAAGGGAGGCAGTGGTGTTGGATTCGCAAATGCAGAAAATCGAATTTCGTGTGAGCGTTGCCTTCCAAGCATCATTGTTTGGCAGCTTTTCTCAGCATCTTCTGTTTAATTTTGGTCAGCTACCTTGTCTTAAGAAAGATTTTAACATCGATATTGGCAGCAAGGAAACACTGGAGAAATTGGCAGCTAGGAGGAAGACCGTCATACTTGATGCCCTACCTTGGGAAGATCAAAATATGACACTCGTAAGATTCGAACCCGATCCAGAAAAAGAAAAGTTGATGTCCGCCTATTCTTTGCCTAAGGATGCAGAGAGAATTGTGTCAGCTCAGTTGGTTAAAGGGGAAGTCAGACAAGACACTTATAAACAGACAATGCACCAGCTCCTTTTTTCGGAAGAGGTTTATATGAGGAAACTTTTGTTAAGGTACGAAATTGGTTATTGTTTTGTTGTTGTTTCTGCTTTTTGTTTTCAAAAATTTAATTTTAAACCAAAAATCGTTATGAGCATTAAAACAGAAATGTCTTTTGTTCCAACGTTTTTTTATTCAATTAAACTAGTTAATTTCATAGTTTTTCACTCAGTTAAGCTTTTCTCTTGTTCAAAGTGATTATAACCTTTCCTCATACTGGCGGGATATTTACAAATGTATTTTAACTTTGGATTTATCATTTTATAGTCTTGCGCCAACGACTGCCGTAAAGCTTGAAATCGTGACAACTAAACCAGACCTCAGGTTCGGTGGTATAAAGTTTGCGGGGAAAGGTCAACTGTTTGGAAAAATAAAACTTGAAAACATCGAAATTACTCTCGATGACATGGCGGGAAGAGTATGTCTGCGAAATGTTCAGCACATTTGGATCCAGTCACGTGATAAACCCAAATACCTTTACGAGTTGCCGAGCGAAATTCACGAGGGCAACACCATTTATGTGGATTTGCCACCAAAGGTGTGCGAGGATCTGAAGGTATGTAGTGATGGAGAGTTTTTAAAATATTTTTTGTTAAAGATACCTGAAAATTCCTCTCGTTCTTTCGTCAGTCGGAAAGGCAAACAGTTCCGATTCAGCATAAGAGTAATAAGCTCGTTGGCCATATGAAACAGAGTCGTTCTTAGGTGCTTGGAGTACTAGTAGATTCGATGAACGGAGAGCACGAGCAGGGCGGTAAACTTCAATGAGGCAAAGGAAAACGCGCTTGACTATATTTTAAGACGCTTGTTGAAACGGGATATTAAATGGATAACTTGAAGCCAATTCACACGATCAAAGGAGTTGCATTGCATTGCATTGCATTGCAATATACGATTACGTTTTGCTCCATCCCAAATGCAGCTGATTGATCAAGTTTTGATAATTCGTACAAAATTTACAATATCATCACCTTATCTAACAATGGGCTATTTCGACATTAGAACGATCATCTTGAATCGCAAGGCAAAGTGTGTGTATATATATATATCAATCAAAAATATATGAAAATATATCATCAAGCCTCACATTAGCTCTATATTTGCCCCCTGTACAACCCATTTAATGCTTTGCGCTCAAGATGACCATCGTATATATTATAGAGTAAAAGTAGTAACACGATTATATAAAACGTTTATTCATGCTAGATTAAATGATAATATAAATATCATTAAATAAATATAATTATTCACAAACAATTTTGAAATAAATTACATTCTTTCCCTTCAGCTAATCAAAGACAAAGTCGTTGATGTTGAGATGAGGTTCAATCTAAACCGCTATATTCTTTGCATGATGCATAAAGCCATAGACAGCCTTGGGATTACGCAAGCACGCCAGCTTTTTCCCGTAGAACGAAGAGTCATCAGAAGACGAGAGGTAAACTAAATCCACGGATAACTTATGTTATTAACAACTAATACGATAGAAAAAACACCACAAAAAACAACTCAGCATATAGATTCGTTGACCGAATTTTTTTGGCCTCCGTGATTCTCAAATTAAGTTGATTCTACAATCATGAACAAGTTTGGAAAGATGAATTGCGCACTTTTTGTCGTCGATGAATAAATGTTGATCTCAACGTTAGTGGGAGCGGAAATAAATATTTTGTGATAAGAATCAAATTTCAAGTTGTTTCCTGTTTAACGATGCCAACCGAAGGGATCAAATAGTCCAATTACAGCAATTTTGTTTATTTTGATTTTGTGCGTCTTTAATTATTTCATTTATCTTTTGTGATTTCTTAATCGCAGTTGTCTCATGTCCTTCTCCTTAAATATCTCAATCTTACCACTGAATCAATCTTCTAATTTCCCTCCTTTGATCACATTTGTACAGGTGACCGATTTTTTGGGGTGGTTCCTGGATCAACGCCTTAACGAATGCCAGAAACGCGTTATTCACGCTATCGCAGACGTTGTCCCCCCTTCTCCTCCACTTGTGGTGTTTGGACCCTTTGGGACAGGAAAAACCTTCACTTTGAACCAAGCTGCGATATATTTGATGAAAGAGAAGACAAATCGCGTTCTTGTATGCACACATACAAATTCAGCGGCTGACATTCACGTGGAACGACTCGATGAATATCTCCAAGGAAATGGGAAGCTTTCGCGTGCAGCAAAACCTCTGCGCATTTACAGCCCTGAAACAGAATGGAGTAAGACTTCTGACGTTGGTCGGAAGTATGCACTAGTGAAAGATGGAGTTTTCGTAATGCCAACTAGAAAGAATGTCGTCGATCATCGTGTTGTCATAACAACGCTTACAACTGCTGACCTGTTGACTAAGCTTAATGTTCACCATGGATTTTTTACACATATCCTGATAGACGAGGCTGCACAGGCTTGGGAAACAGAAGCACTGATACCACTAGCCCTCGCTGGCCCCAACACGAAGATTGTCTTCACTGGAGACCACATGCAGGTGAGTGTATTATGTTTCGGATGATATTTATCGAGTATCATTAGTGTTATACCATAGACTTCCTAACCGTCGGTCTGTTGTGCGGGAGGTCGTGGTTCAAGCCTCGGCCTGTCTTAAAATAACTGAGGAGAAGGTGCTGCCTTTGTAATAATATCTGCAAATGGTTAGACTTCAAGTCTTCTCGGACAAGGACTTAAAACCATAGGCCCTGTCTTCCAACCCTTCCTAAGCTATAGTAAAATGGGGGACATAAAAGAACCTGTTGAATTATACGTATAAGAGTAGGGGATTGTCTCCCGGTTCAACAGCCTATCCCTGTTTGGAGGCATAACACTAATGTACTAACAAATTACCCATGATTGTAAGCTGCACGACTGCTAATAGCGCCTTAATATGCAGCCCGTAAAGTCCTCCACTGGTCTTTAATGCTATGCGAGAACCTCCCATTATTATTATTATTATTACTATTATTAAAATTTTATGGTTTTATGTGTTTAAAAAACGAGTAGGAGGACGAGTAGGAGTGTTTTATCAGGTATAAAAGCACGAGGCGTAGCTTAAACTGCTTAAAACACTCATGAACAATTTATAAGATTTTGGTTCAACTGGAGTCACCATACACGTCACGAACATGGATTTTTATACTTCGATAGAGATTTGACGTCACGGGCATGCGCAACCAGATTCAATAGAAGCTCCCACACGTTGGATATTGCGTGCCAAGTCAAAGACAGGCACGTTAGTCAAAGATCATTAGGTTTGGCTATGACCTTGATGAAGCTCTGTGTCTTCATCTAAACTTGGATGCATACTTCATCCCTGATGAAGTCGTCCTCATAGTATTCGAGTGGTCTTTATATAAAGATCACATGTGTCTTTATATAAAATCACTTGAATACTAATGAAGAGGACTTTATCGGGTATAAAGGTTCATGCACGTGACGTGTATGGTGGCTCCAATTGGACCATAAGCTTGTGAATTATTAATAAGTGTTTTAAATATAGATATTATCACATCTTAAGAGCTTGATATCGTCACGAGTTTCCATATCATATCCCGAACAAGCGAATCTGCGAGCGAGTGAAAGATATTACACATTACACAGGGTCGATAAAATGACAAAACTTACAGTTTACCGTTTACCGTGAAGTGATATCGTATCAAATCACTTCACTGATATGGTTTATATTCACGGCTTTATCACACTAATATGGAGGCTAAATGTGTAATCTGATATCTTTATTATTCACTCGTTTTCCATATGATATCACTCACTCGCAGACTCACTCGTTCGCGATATCATATGGAAACTCGTGAATAAAAACGATATCAAGCTATTAACATGTTATTTCTTTATCGACAAGATTCTGTCACAACGTAATGAAGCTTGTTACTGTTGGATTAAATAAAGAGTTCTTTTGGCCAATGAGTTTTTGAGACAAACGCGAAATGCAATCCGAAAATTACAAATTTCCTTCCAGAAACAAGCTTAATCCGCTGAAAATAATCCCTCTCCGAAAACAAGCCTATCCAAAGGGTAAATTTACAAAATATAAGCTCAGAAGTTGTTTTAGGTTGGAGGTTTACGGTATTTTTATACGTACCTGGTCTGTATGTGGAAAATTCTAATCTATTCATTTATGTAATTCAACAGACGTCTCCTGAGGTATATTCAGAATTCGCTCGTCAGTGCGGACTCCAGAAATCACTTCCCGAACGCCTTTTTGACCATTACCAGGCAAAAGATAGCAAAGACGATCAAGTGCTGTTTTTGTTCGAAAATTACCGCTCTCACGAGGAAATACTTAACTTTCCTTCGGTGAACTGCTACGAAAAAGGCATCGTCGCAAGAGGTAACATTCCTGGCCATCCTAAGATACCGCCTTTGGTTTTCTACGCAGCCAAAGGCAAAGACGAAAAGCAAAGCAACAACTCGTTCTTAAACGAGTCTGAAATTTACGAGGTAGAGAAGCGAGTAGTTGAACTGGTAAAAAACTGGCCACTGTGTTGGGGCCAGAAGAACCTACGAGACATTGCAGTAGTTGCTCCCTACAAATATCAGGTATTTTATACAAATTTGGGGGGAAAATATGAATAATATAAAAATGATATTTTCTAGTAAAGTATGATGTGTTAATTGTATACAATGTAAGCAATGTAAGATTTTTGTTTCTTTAGGTGGACGCAATTCGAGGCGAATTGAGGAAAAAACGAATGAGTGAAGTCAATGTTCAAACGATCCACAATATACAAGGTATAGTTCGTGTGACTTTATTAACAGTTCACGAACCATTCCATTAATTCGAACCATTGCAATAATCAACAAGTAACTACAAGTAACTAAACTTGCGAAATGTCAAATTCTGTTTACGAATTTCGTCCTTCTTGTGTCTAAAGGGAACTAACTACATCAAACATTTTTCAATCTTTTTTTCATTTCAGGAAGGGAATTCAGAGCTGTGTTTATCAGTACTGTGCGAACTTGGAACTCCATCCAAGACTTGAGCCAGTCTGACAAATTGTCCTGTGACGATCTATCTCTGGAATTTCTTTCTGACCCGAAGCTGCTCATAACTGCTGTTACACGAGCAAAGTCATTGGTGGCTGTTGTTGGTGACCCTTTTGCCCTATGCACCCTAGGAAGGTGTAAAATTCTTTGGGACGATTACATCACAAGATGCTACAATCTTAACGGGTTATTCGGAATAACATGGGAAGCCTTAAGTGAAGACATAGGTGCCCATTTCTCTCAAATTCAACTGGATCCAGAAGCTCCAACGTTTGTTCCTAAATCAGAAATTCCTAGGAATGATGATGGAGATGAGGCAAATATGGAATTTCCAAACAAAACCGCCTCAAACCTGAGTGAATTAGAACCAGAAACGGAGGAAGATCAGGCATCCTCTTGCTCGGGAGACATTAAATATAATGCTGAAGACGATGATTGTTTTGCTGATGTGGAAGACGATTTAGAAGACGAGGCCGTGCTACCAGCTAATATTGATGGAATAATCAAAGAGCTATGTAAATTCGTTAAAAAACGCCAGCAGCAAACCGCTGTTATGGATGAGGAATTTCCCGCCTTGACCAAGTACTCTTCAAAAGTTAAAGAAACTCAAATTATTTGGCCCTCGAAAAGGCCCACTCAGGACTTTAATCGTAAAACACTGAAAAGCGAATATCTAATTCGCAACAAGAATGGGCGCACCGAAATCCAGCTGTTGGATATATACAAAAGCCCTTCAGATCGAGTACAGCAGATCGCCATGAATAACTACAAATATCAAAACCTTGAGCCCGAGGTACTAATAAATATGCTTGAAAAAGAACCTTTGAAATTCTACTCTGGTCAGCTTCAGATACGAAATGAGAAATCAAGGATAGCCTATCTCGTTATTCCAGACAAAGACAAACCTGACATACAAGTTAAGGGATCAATCAGACATGCATTTGATCACGATACTATTGTAGTCGAAGTACAGCCAAGTCAGAACGAAACAGAAAGTATAAGCTGTGGTTTCCTCAAAGGTAAGGTGCCTCATATTAAGTTTTAGGTTCAGAAAAAACGTCTTAAGAATCTCTCTTTATTGTTTTGAAACGTTTTGCATTTTCTATTTCAGGTGTGCTGAATCACATGATTAGTCCTCGCGAACGGCAGTATGTTTGCAAGGTCACTCTGAACAATCCTGCAGTCATGATTCCCATTAACAGATCGGCTACAAAAATAGTAAACCTTAGTGATAAGAGCCTCAGAGATATCATACCGGTTTACAAGAAGCGCAAGACGCAAGACGAAAGAATCGGCGAACCAATGAAGATGATAGCCATAGAAGAGGTTATAGAGAAGAAGCTTTTGTTTGTTGTCGAGTTTCTTCAGTGGAGAAGCGACTGCACCCTTCCTCTGGGAATTGCCGTAAGAACTATACCGACAGGGGAAACAGTAGAGCAATGCAAAGAAATCCTCTTTGCTGAATGCGGCATTCGCAAAGCCTTCAGTAGGAACACTAAAGAGATGATACGCAAGCGTTTTCCAACAACATGGAAAATTCCAGACAGTGAAATGAAGAACCGGAAGAAGATTGATAAGGCTTTTACTATTGATCCACCAGAAGCTAAAGATCTGGATGATGCCATCTCAATAGATGAAATTGGAGATGGAAAGTTCAAGGTTGGGATTCACATCGCCGATGTAAGCTTTTTTGTAGAGCGTGGTACTGATCTGGATCGAGAAGCACGGCAAAGAGGAGTGTCATATTATCCTGGTCAAAATGGGGAAGAAAATATGCCCATGCTTCCACGTGAACTAAGTGAGAATATCCTTAGTCTCCTGCCAAACGAGGACCGCTTGACTGTTTCAGTTTTCGTTACTCTTAACAGTGAAGGCGAGGTCGTCGGCCAAAAAGAGATTCTGAGAACTGTGACGCATTCTCGCTGTAGGCTTAGCTACTCTCAAGCACAGCAGATATTAGACATGGAGAAGCATGATAATGTAGAGGGCGTGCCTGCTCAAGTGCCTCTAGCAATTAAGAGGCTTCATTCACTTGTCGTAAAAAGGCGCTGGCAGCGTCTTAAGGAAGCATCTTTTGAGGATTCGAATAACGGAGAAGATTCAGATGCACACGAGCTAATAGAAGAGCTCATGATTCTTGCCAATCATACAGTTGGGGACTTCCTGCATAGTAGAAATCCAAGGGGCACTCCATTTCGTACACAACTAGAACCAAAGGTCCATCGCCTCAATGAATGGGCGGAAAAGTATGGCTCAATTGCCAAGTACTCTCCGGTTCTGCAACCAAAACTTCAGAGTGAGGACATCAAAAACGAAGTCAAAGAAAGAATATATACAGAAGAAAAAGAAATCGACATTCATGAACACGCCTGGGACGAAATATGTAGAGCTGCAGAATCTGGGGATCTGAGAAAAGTGAAGCGTTTGATTTGTGACCCGTCGTCTTCACCACAACTTGCGATAGCACGTCTGCATCTCATGCGAATTCAGACGAAATCTCAATACACGTGCTCTGGAAGTGACTCTCAACACTATTCCCTAGGACTGAGTAACTACGTTCACTTCACCTCACCCATCAGGCGCTACGTAGATATTGAAGTCCACCGCCTTCTTTTGGCACTGATGCCAAGTAATAGTGTGGAACAAGCCACTTTGAATGAAGATGAGATGGCAACGCTCTGTCGCAGGTCCACATACTTCAAAACCAACTCAGACAAATTTGAGAAGGAATTCAAACGCATTCATTTTGCTTCAACGTTGAAACAGAAAAACAAGTCTGGGATGTTTTTCATAGACCAGTTGGAGGGCCGTTTCTTCACGATACATCCAGTGAGTCCAGATCACGATTATTTCTTGGGGAAGCACAAGAAGGTTAATTTTGATGTCCTGTTGCCTTCCTCCAAGTCAGACAGCATTGATGGCAAGCCGGAAACCAGTCTCAGATGGAGGTCGAGAATATACCTTGCACATTCATCGGGAACCGAAGCTGATGATTTGTCTCTCTCCCGTCGGGATGCGGCCAAAATCAAGAATTTGTTAGATAGCGGTAGAAACCGTGTTGCCGTTCAGAGGATAAAGGGAAATACCTGGAAGTGCATTATAGATGCTGTCAAGGATGGTAAACCAGCAGATGAACTACTACGACAGGTAAAGCAAACTGACGAGAACTTGAAAAAAAGTGCTACTCAAAAGAGGTCTTTTACAGCCGGAAGCTCCAGTAGAGATGTCTACAAGCATCCTAACTTTGGCCGAATGGATGTTGGTACGAACAGCAACAGTGATTGTCATTTTCATGAGATAACTATGAATCTCAAGCGGTGTGACATGGTTCGTTTTCAAATGTTTTCACGTCTGCACAGTAAGATGCTCTGTCCAGACGTTCAGCTTTTGAGTGTTTCATCAGGTTTTTGTATTTGCCTGGAGCATCAAAGATACCCTCGAAGGTGCTTTGCATTTGATACAAAACGGTGTGCCTCAAAAGCAGAATATTGCAGTGTTGATGAGTACGTTGACTTTTGGAAACCCGTACTTGCCATGGAAGCAGCAAATGCAGCGGTTGTTCAGAATGATGGATTTATTCTGAAATCTTTGCCAGTGAAGTGGAAACAAAAGGATGGAGATATCAAGGGTAAATTTACTCTGACGTCATCTTATTGCAAATCTCGGCAACTGGAGTTCCACTATGGTGACCTCGCGTGCATTAGAATTCCATTCTCGGACGACTTATTACCAGAAGATGCTGAGGCAACAACTGACGATCAAGAAATAAGCATTTGGATAGGGCATTGTATTGTTGAAGATATAAAACCAAAGAAGAACCAAGATGCAACATCAGTGACTGTCAGACTTCATCAAATGGCATGTGAATTTCCTCGTCACCTTTTGACCAAAGGCCAACGGGAGTGTGACATGGAGTATATTTACCAGCCTCTGCCGTTAAGGTTTGTTTTGTTTTGTATTCCTCTACAACATCAAAACAGTTTCATAACACAATTTTCCAAACTGAAAAGGAGACAAAAGAAATCCCCCCCCCCCCCCCTCATTTTTAAAGAAATTCGTTAACTTTTTTTGTTCGTTTAATTACGCAATAGGGGAAATATATCGTGATATATATATTTAGAAAATAAAACGTTTGTGCACTTTTCTTGTAAAGTAGAGTTAAGCTGCCCGTACTCCTAGCAGTAGGCTTCTGCCAACAGTGTCCTTGGTCTTTCCTCCGATTTACGATATAGTCCCTCTCGTGAGATATATTTAGAAAATAAAACATTTGTGCAATTTTCTTGTAGACTGTCGCTTTCAAAAAAAAAATGCTTTACTTCTTTAAGCTATTCTCTCATTGGCTTTTGGCATGAACATTGGCTTTAGTAAAACTTGATTTTTAACTTTTAATTTTAGTTGAATTTTGTAAAGTCTTACATAATTTTACTAATATTGATATTTATTTTATAAGGCGGATGATTACAGCGTTGGAATGCAAGTTGAAAGACTCGTCAGAACTTGTCAAAACAATCTGCCTTGGACAAAGTCCTTCACAAGGTGCGTCAACCCATCTCTAACGCAAAACCTTTATTTTTGTTTTTAAATTATTTGTGATTCATTTATCATTGTAGAAAGATTTCCTCTTCCCGAACAAGAATTATCCATTTCTGATCATTACAGAACGACTGGATTTAAACCATTGAATGATTATCAAAAAAATGCTGTACGTCAGGCTTTGTCAAGGCCTTTCTCGCTCATTCAAGGTCCACCAGGTATGCTGTCAAACTATTATATACAATAGCAATTGACCATCTATCTTTGACTCTTGCAATTTTTAAATGTAGTTGTGACTTGACCTTCGAGGATAAACATAGAATTTAACTTGGATAACATTTTGATTCTTCATTAGGGACCGGCAAAACAKTAACTGGAGTGCATGTTGCATATTGGTTCGCAAAGCAAAATGAAAAGCAGAAGCCAGCAGAGAAACAAAACAAGAAGTCAAAAAAGAAGGCAGCCAAAATTAAGACAGATCATGATAAGGAGGAAAAGGAGAAGGGGCCACCACAGGTGCTTTACTGCGGCCCATCCAACAAATCAATTGATGTTGTCACAGGTATTGCTATTGTTTGTTTGATTGTTTGTCTCAGAAAATCAGTCAAAGTAAAGATTACTAGAATAATTAATCTAGTTATGAACTTCTAAGGCCCCGTCAACACGTATCCGGAAATTTTTGTATCTGCAAATTTATTTTTTCGGATACGGAAATGTTTGCATCCACACGCAGCGTATTCGAATCGTTTTCGAATCGTTTTTACTGTCCACACGTATCTGGAAATTTCTTGATCCACATTGATGCACGCTAGTGCCTAGTCCCTTTGGCGGATAGTTTTTCTTATTGAGCATGCGCAAAATCGTGTTTACGTCATCGTATTCGAAAATTTGCGGATACGACCGTCCACACGTATCCGTATTCGGAGCGTATTCGAAAATTTCCACTCTAGAGATCGTTTTCGAAAATTTTCGGATACGGATACAAAACATTTCCGGATCCGTGTGGACGTTGCTAAGATTACCAATTTACGGTCGGACACAGCCACATGATTTCAGTAATTTTCATAATTTATTAAAGCGACTCGTGCAATTCTTCTCGCCGTTCACATAAGCGGTGAAGCGCTTCAGTTTTGAAAACCCTCCAATAATAATAATAATAATAATAATAATAATAACAACAACTTTATTTGTCAGGGTTCGCACCTTACCATGACTGATAATTTTCAAGTGGCCCTCGGGATTATAAACAATTTACATATACACTTATTTCAATAAAGTTAGTCACCTGAAAAGCTATAAAGCTGAGGCCGACAAGGATTATGGGTAGATTCATTTTACACGTTCAACCGCTTGATAACTGTTCATGGACTTGCCAATCTTTTACCGGTTATAGTCTCACCTCTTCTAAGCATCATCGAGCTGCAGTTTGTATTAAAAAAGCTTTGTATATATATGCTTTATTGATATGAAAAGTTTCCCATGATGCTCAGTGATCTCAGCTTTCTAGGTTTTTGGTGACTAACTTTATTGAAATAAGTGTATACAATATAAAGAATGTTATAAAGATGTAGATGTAAAAAGAGAAGGATAAAACTAGTTTTTAAAAATCAATGAAGGTATTGAAAAATACCACTTGCACTATGATGTTTTTGTATGGACGCAGCACACGCTCGATGAGGATTCGAGAGATCAGTACTTGACTTGGACTAAACCTCTTTTTAATAGTCATTTACTTATTGTTTTACATATCCTCTTATCATTTAGAATATCTGCTTAAGATACCCGGAATGAAGGGCAAGATTCTTCGCGTGCACGGTACACTTATAGAGGAATCTGAGTATCCCATTCCCAACAAGATTAACGTATCCAAACCCACTGCAAGTGATGATGAACTCAAGATTCCAGAAGGCGAAGTTAAAGAAGTTTCTCTTCATCATTTCATAAGGAGTGAGTTGTCTCCATTCGCCACAAAACTAAGAGAGAAGGAGGACGATTTCAAAGAAGCAAAGAAACGAAAAGAAAGGCCAAGTGAGGAAGAAGTAGCAACATATTGTGATGTGAGTGAATACTACAGGCTAAGTTGTCGGTCATCCTGTATATTTTACCAAACAAAAAGTGTTATTTTAATGATTACTTGCATATTTTCATTTCTCAGGTCACACTATTTCACACTATTCGCTTTTAGTAGTTTGTAACAGTTGGTTACTGCTCTGAATGCTGCACAAAACTTATGTAACGTGCTGCTTCAATTAGCCGTTCCGAGCTTGAAGAAAAAGCTGGTTCGAGTTTGTGTTTCAACGCATTGTGTTTATGTTTAAGGTGACGAATTGGCGCCATCTTGAAAATATTTCCCCTAAAACAGCCCCACAATGCACCGCAATGCCAACTCGACCCAGTTTTTTCCTCAACCTCGAAACGGCTAGTCAGCATAAATAAATACCATGAATAACTAATGTTAGGGGCAAATACTGCCCAAAGTTTTTAATCACCCATGTTTTTATCTATTAAAGACTTGCTATTTTGGCTGGTAAAATTCACATGCGACGCTGGAAATGACATCTTTAGCTACGGATTTCAGTCCTTACTATCAGGGTTAAAGCTAGTTCATAGACTTGGACTTTGATACCTTAAAAACGGATATTACGACAGAATTGTTTCAGTAATTCCAAAAATGATTTGGTTTCGATCTGACAACATTTCTGAATTTATAACTTTGCCTCTCAGCCATTTGTATATGAAATTCTTGAACATTTAATTGATTGAAAAATTTGACAAATAATAATGCAAAAATAATAATTTAAATTTAAATAATGGTTTTATATTTAGATAATTGCTAAAGCTGAAGAATGGGCGATCACGAAGTCTGGCAAAGAGATAATACTCTGCACGTGTTCTCGAGCAGGCAGTAAAACAATCACTGAATTGTGCAATAATATTCAGCAGTGTATTATCGATGAATGTGGGATGTGTACGGAACCAGAGGCTCTGGTCCCCATGACGTCATCCAATGCTAAACAGTTCGTGCTGATTGGTGATCACAAACAACTGCAACCAATCATCACTGATAAACGTGCAAAGAGTCTTCAGCTGGATATATCATTATTTGAACGACTTGCCAAGCAAGCATGTATGTTAAGGATGCAATACCGAATGGTACGTTGTGCATACAGCTACTTCAAAAGAAAAAGGATTGGCGAAGGTTTCGTTGCATTCCATTCCAAAGAGTCTCATCGATGTGAAATCTTCTAAATATTGTCTGAATGTGTTTAATTCCTGCATAATTTCTTGTGTTGACAAATGAATATTATACGTTGTGCAACATGCAACATGCCACTGCAACGTGCAGCATGCAACATGCGCCACATGCAACGTGACACATGCAACGTGCTACATACAACGTGCCTCATGCAACATGCCACATGGAACGTGCCACATGCAACNATGCAACGTGCTACATACAACGTGCCTCATGCAACATGCCACATGGAACGTGCTTCATGCAACATGCCACATGGAACGTGCCACATGCAACGTGCCACATGTAACGTGACACATGCAACGTGCTTGCTACATACAACGTGCCTCATGCAACATGCCACATGCAACATGCCACATGCAACGTGCCACATGCAACGTGCTTGCTACNGTGCCTCATGCAACATGCCACATGCAACATGCCACATGCAACGTGCCACATGCAACGTGCTTGCTACATACAACGTGCCTCATGCAACATGCCACGTGCAACATGCCACATGCAACAAAACTTTCACCATCCATTTTTGAAATAGCTGTGTTATAATGGTTTGGTTGCGCTGAGTGCCGCACAAGCTCGACGTATGTACCGCGGGAAAAAAAATATAAATCCTTTTTTTTTCTTAGTTGTTCTTGTTATTCTTGTTTATTACTTTAAAAAAAAAACATATACATTGCTTGTCCAGTCACTTTTACTTCATTCGAATCAGCTTAACGAAAGTTAAGGATTGGCGAACTTCATTCCTCAGCCTTTTTGATTAAAATTCTATGCTTCATCATTTTATAATGATAAAATGTTTTTTCATTCCCGGCCGTAATTTACCTTCACGTGCGGAACACAATAAAACCAAGCCAAAACTTTATGACTGTACTTTGTTTAAGTAAAAAATAGATAACTTATATTCCATATTACCACTCTTTCACTGCTACGTGCTGATTGAGACAAAAGTCGCGACAGGGAAATTGGGCAATACACTTCTGTCAATCAAATAAATTGGTTGGTAACTTTATATTCTTTGATTGGCAGCAGTGTATTGCACTATTTTCCTGTTGGGATTGTTGTCTCGATCAGCGCGTAGCAGTGAAAAGAGTGGTAAGCTGTAAAACGCATCTTTCTTCAGCATCCATCGATCTGTGAGTTTCCCTCTAAGCAGTTTTACGAAGGCATGCTACAAACATCTGACATCGTGACGTCCCGCAACACAGCTAATGTGCAGATATGGCCTGCTTTGGGTACAAGAGTATGTTTCTGCCACATTGAAGGCGTAGAAGAATCCTCTGTTATATCAGCTGTTGACAGTGGAGCTGACTCTAAATACAACATGGACGAAGCCAGGAAAGCTGTAAGTTCAAATGTTTGCTGTCTTTAATTACGGTCTTCAGTAGTTTTTATGAAGAGAAGAGAATAATACATATTAGTATAAACCTACTAATGTTCTATCACAAATCCTGCCCTCTGATTGGTTGAGCGACTAGTGGTGTATTAGTGATAGACCCCTAGTAGAGAAAAGTGCCAGTTTTGAAAATCAAAACAACACAGAGAATCCATTATTTCAATCAGATTTCATAATATTTTGTATCAAGGGAGCATAAATAAGAGAGGGAAGGGAGCACGGGAGTAGGGTAAGGCGAAATTTAAACTGCATCCGGTTACTAAAAATAGCCCAACCGGGAATTTACATGGCGCGCGCGTTATTAAGAAGTTTCCCTCTCTTATTAATACTCTCTCGTTTGTATCCATTTATTTGGACGATTAGTAGGTTCGGCCTCATGCACTATTGACTCGTACACCATGAAGGCGAGAGGTCTAATTGTTAAATAGTCCTTAAAGGTGGTGTTACACGGGCCAACTTGCAACGCTGATTTTTCGCGCAACGCTGTTGCCGTTGCCGTGTAACATAGCGCCGAGGACGATTTTTCGCGCAATATCTCACTCTGCAACACGTTGCAAGCTTTTGATCTGACTACAAAAACTTGCAACACAAGATGACGAATTTGCAGCAAATCGATGTGTGTAACATGTCCATCGCCGATTTGACGCGCAACTTTGCTCATGAAAGCGAGGCTTTCTTGTAAACAAACAAAATGGCGGCTGCTGTTTAACAACCAATTCCTCGTCCAAACATTTCTTTCTCTTCTCCTCAGTTTATCTTCGCCAAAATCAGCTAACACAAGTAAAAGTATCAAACTTGCGCGTCGTCGATAACAAGAGTCAAACGCCATTTTGTTTGTTTACATGTTGGCAGCGCGTGGATTGAATACTAAAGTGAATGTTACGCGAAAAGTTGTTCCCGTGTAACATGTTGCAAAAATTCGACACACAAATGGCACAATAGCGTTGCACGAAAAATCGGCGTTGCAAGTTGTTCCGTGTGACACCACCTTATTGATGTTAACATTGGATGACATCTAATTGCCTTGAGGTCGACTGAAATCCATTAAATTCGACGTCTAATTCAAACGTCGCATTTAATTCTGCCGCTCACAACAAACATAATCTAGCTAAAGTACTATCAAGATTGTTATCCATAGCCGCTATGATATTGAGCCTTTAAAATTGATGCATTGCATTTGACGCGATGAAAGTTCGACATTTGCCTCAACGCCGATCTTTTGCTGTCTTGTATTGTGCGACTGGCTTTTTTTCATTTTTATTCGTATTAAATATTGGTTCAGACGTCGCACTTCTCATGTGCGAAACGCAACTACTAGATTCGACGCGGCAAAAGTTGTAGACGTCTGAACTGGACCTTTAAGCACAGACTCCCACAGGTGGTTTCTAATTGACATTAAAATCGCCAAAAAAGATATTTCCCCAATCTCGTACCCAGAGCCCTTATTTCTTACTGCGCATGCTCGACGAAATAATTGGGCTCTGGAAAACTCCAAACCGGAAGACCCAGATTCTGGGTTTCTCGCACATGCGCATTACATGACAGACTAGGTAAATTCAAAATGGCGGACGATGTTCAACGAGCATGTGAATTTGCGCTTGAAAAATTAGGTTTTGAAGATGGTTTTCAGTTAAATTAACTCCGAAAATATCTATTGGATGGACATCAATACAATTTCCATTACAAAACCGGCAAAACTTGAAAAATCCGGCCCTACAGGCTTTTTTGGTGTACTTAATTCGAGACGCCATCTTGTTTATTTTTCCTGTAATTTTTACTTCCGGTATCTTCCTTTGTTCTCGAGAACCAATCACAGCACAGGAAATATTGGAGTTTTCCAGAGCCCAATTATTTCGTCGAGCATGCGCAGTAAGAAATAAGGGCTCTGGGTACGAGATTGATATTTCCCCTTCTCCCCTCTCCCCCAACACCACCATCAATATTATATTAGATAAATCGTTCATTAAACATCTTTGCGTTACTGAGTCGTAAGACTGAATTACTAATAAATATAATAAGAAAAAACTATCAAATAGTATACATACACAATAGATTCAATACATTATCATTGTCTGGAATTCAATCCTAGTTTATAGCATCTTACGATATGCTACTAATGTGTTATGTTTATGTTATATTTAAGGTCTATCTGGCTAAATATCTGGTTAACAGCCACAGACAACAGATAAAAGAGAAGAATATAGTCATCCTGACGCCATACAGACAACAACGCAAAGTCATTCAAGATCTTCTTAAAAAGGCTGGCAAGGATATCCTTGTTACTACTATCATTAAAAGCCAAGGTCATTAATAATTATTATTCGTATTATAACTGCGCTTTTCATATTTCCTAGTCGTTGCATTGTGATAGAAACTATTTGATGGAGAGGAAGCCAAAGCTCCAGAAATCTGAACGTACTGATTCTGAAAATACCTGGGACACAGAAACATGATAACTAAGCCCAGAACCGGCTAGTCTCCTACGCAGCCGCTGTTAGGGTCGTCACGCAACGCCCACTCCCAAGAGCATAGCGTGACGACAATAATAGCGGCGGCGTAGGAGACTATGAACGTACCGGCGTGTGTGTGTAAATTATCTCTCCAACTCGTAAAATTACCATTTTTCTATATTAGACATACTTTTTGGCTAATTTTTTTTTTTAACATCTTTTATCATTATAGGAAGTGAATGGGACTATGTAATCTTGTCATTGGTTCGTTCGCTTCCTGAACAAGAATTAGAACCTGAACCATCGTCATCATGGCTCGGTGAACATCTTGGATTCATCACAGATGAACATCAGATTAACGTGGCCCTGACACGAGCTAAACATGGACTTTTCATCACTGGTACATTTAGATCATTAATATTGTTCAATAGCCTGCGATCTTCTATAATACTCAATTTGTTTTCAAGACAGAAGCTAAATATTTCGAGTAATTGAGTGACCAAGCTTCAATCTACTTCGTGCATACACTTTCAAATGTAAAAGCGCACGTCAAGCCTAAGACAATACTTTCAATATTGAATCTACATGAAGGGAATAGTTGAATGGCATGCCAAAAATAGACCACTATCATAAGCACAGACCAAGAAACTGCAAAGAAAGAAATCATTATGCATAAGCTGAAACTTTAATTGGGCTACTTGTGCACTTATAATCTTTTCCCAAACAGGATTGGCGCGCGTGAGCGTGTGTGTGCGGTAGTGAGGAGGAAGGTAGACTGGGTTTTCAAAGTCCCATTTGCCTTGGAAACGTTTGTTTGTTTGTTTCGGGGGTTCGCGGTCTTGTTCGTCTCAATTTCCACATATACCATGTTCTAGTACTTAACTCGTATACTAAAACTCTTTTTCTTCAACAGGGAATAAAAACTTACTATCGTATGACCCAATCTGGCACAGCCTTATACAGCACTGCGAAGAAAAGAAGTGCATTGTTAGTAACTCGTGGCCTTAGCATCACTGGCTTGCCAATCAGACGGTTTTGCGTTTTTACCTCCTTAATCGAGGATCCGCCATTTTTTCCCCAGTCGAAGTATGAACCTTTCGATAAGAAGATAAATACCTCGTTTTTATGGTGTTGGAAATATACGAGTCCATATCATATATATCTTTCTCAAAGAATTAATATCGGTCCGCGTGAGCGTTTGAGCCTCGCGAATACCCTCTTGTTATAACAATGACTTCTTAGAAGACTTTCTTTTAAATGTTAACTCAGCAGGGCCCGGTTGTACGAAGGGCTTTAGTAAATAAATTTATTGGATAAAAGCATCGACTTATCCACTGTGTAAGGATTTATCCATTGAGTAGCGCTATCCACCCTTCGTGCTACCGGGCTCTGATGTCTTTTATTAATATTATTATTTTTGCTCGACATTTCTTTGCTTGACATGTTTTAAATTAATATTTGTTATACATAGTTTTTAGTTTTATTTGGAAAAACAACTTTTACGATTATTACAATAATATCATTACATTTCTTTTCTCTACGTCTATAAATATTTTAATTATACAGCTTCTCATAAATCCCATATAGGTAACTGTCCAATTATTTTCTTAATTGCACAGGTCTTGTTGATATGGGATTAATTAGGCAGCTATATAATTAATAGGTAATGGGATTTCATGCTCCCCAATCAAGAAATAATTAGACTCGAAAAATTCCTCTGACTGACAAATTGGCGGACTCGGCCTACGGCCTCATCCAATTTTGTCAGTCCTCTGAATTTTCCTCGTCCAATTATTTCTTAATTGGACAGCATGGAGTCCTATTAAATATACTAATTTCAATTCGGTGCGGTTTGGATAAGTTTTAGATTTAATCATTAGGATAATGAGTACCACATTTTCTTAATTGGCGGGGACCGGGGACGGCGGAGCGTAAATCTGATTGGGGGGCTAACGACCGCCAAAGACTAACTATGAGACTCAATCTAGCCAATTACTCGTCGACCAAAATTGGGACGCCCTTGCAATTCGTCGAGATAAGCAAAAAGCAACACTAATGTATAAGACAATGCATAAGCCAAGCCAACGTACATCCAAAATCTCTTTGATCTGAAAAAAACTTAATTACAAATTACGTAATCAGGAAAATACATTTTTATTTCCTAAGCCTAATACTGAGTATCTTAAGAATTCTTTTTGTTATAGTGGCTCTTCACTGTGGAATAGCCTTCCGCAATCAGTGAGAGAGACAAAAACTATCTCACAATTCAAGAAAAACATTGAAAATGTGTTTTCTTAATGTAAAGACTCCCACGGCCTACATGTATGTAAAGCATGTATATTAGATATCTGTATTTAGTTAGCATTATATATTATATATTATTTTAGCTGTAATTGACTGATGTATTTTACCGTGGTTAAATAAAGATTCAGATTCAGATTCAGAAAGACAGAAGCATCAAGGAGGTTTTCCCCTCCCCCCGAAAAATATTGGAATTGAGACCCTTTGGAAATTTAATTTCCCGTGTCTTGAGGGGCATTTGCAGCATATTTATAGCATTAAAGTTATGATTAAAGTAATGCAACATAGCGGCAATATTATTGGCCCCATTCCCCCTAGCTCCGCGGTCCCTGGCATGCTCGTCTTTTCTTTCCTTTTTCTTGTGCTGCAAATTTCTATTTAGACTCTTCCACAGTCTTTCGCTCGTCCGTTCCGTCTCCACGCTTAGAGACTGTAACGGTACAATGACCGAAAGGACTTATGGGTCTCGAAAACTTGGACCCGGCGTGCTTTGGGAACCAAAATACTCGTCCACAGTCTCACTCGTTTCAATATTTTAAAGATGGCGGCGAAAACTTTGGTTCCCAAAGCACGCTGGGTCCAAGTTTTCGGGACCCATAAGTCCTTTCGGTCATTGTACCGTTACAGTCTCTAAGCGTGGAGACGGAACGGACGAGCGAGAGACTGTGGAAGAGTCTAATTTCTATTTGGCGTAATGTTTATATGAAGTTTCTATTTTTATTTCGTTTTCTCTAATTTTCGCACAGTGTTTATAAACATTAGCTGGTGATTTTAACAATTGTCTATTAGAATAACAGACGGATTTCTGGTCATCGATTAAAACAATTGGTCTTTTTCACGCGGCAGCCATACTATACCCCACTCTAAAGACAAAAACATATTTTACTAAATAAAGTTTAACGAGAGTACTAGATAGTCGTGTGACAAGTGTTTTTCTTTGTTATTTTCAAGTATATATGAAATTGCAATCACAAATTATCATAGTCGGAAGGGTTTCGGAAAGCAATCAGACTTCGAATGTTAAGCGTGAGGTGTTGGAATGCACGACTTTGGAAATATTCTGGACAATAGAAAGGCGTAACGATAWARACAAAGTGCGAGTGAAGAAAGCKGTCGCATATTTAGAATTAGGATACAAATGTTTACGGAATTGAGAATATTATTTGACGGTTTTAAATTATTTCAATGAACTTGAAACTTTAGGGTATTTAAATATGTTATCTAAAGTAACTGACTTGGAAGTTAAAAAAAAATTCATCATCGGATTATTGAGTTTGACCGTTTTTAGTAAAGACAAGTGARATCTTTGACAAGATATCAAAAGGCACAACTTTACTAACTAGGCTTGAAATCATATTTCTCGAAATCGAATAACGCGATTTCTTTCCATTTCTCAGAAGGACTATTGGAATAGTAACACAACACTATGACCCCAAAAAAAGCTTTTCCCAAGTCCAAAAAGGAAAGGTTTCGATCATATGAACTAATTGCTTTGGATTGTTTACATTTTTGTTGCCCAAAAGTTCCGACGGCAATTATTTCGAAACGCTTCCATACAAATCTTCGAAACTTCGTTAACTTGAAGACAAACATATGAACTTTAAGTTCTGTTAAACAATTTTTAAAACAAACGTCTGATTTCGCCAAAAATGGAATGTATAAAAAAATGACATGACGTCACTGTATTGCTATGGTAACTCCGATCATGATAAATCATTTAAAACTTGAATCTATCTCTAGACATGTCATAATGATTTATTTGAATTTAATTTATTGGCAGCGACGCAKTTTCCCTTCAAACTTCGAAGGTACGCCACAAGCAAAACCCAGTCGAGCCACCTTAATACGCATAACGCAACACTCAGTCTTGTCAGTGGGACGATGAGAAGAACAGGAAACCCAATACTTCCACGAGTTTGCCTTTTCAATCTTGTCAAATATACAAAGCTTGGGCTTCCTGTGGTTTAAAAGCAAACCCAAAATTATGGCGGCCATCAGTCTGTTAAACTCTACTCTCACCTTCCAAGATTTACGAAAAAAACCTTTTTAATCCAGAGTTTTAACTACAAGTAGTCCTCCGTTTCTTTTAGGTATTTGCACGTCTTAATGGCGCTTGTTCTTGGTGTTGGTGTTGGGCTTTTCGTCCTTATTTTCTTCTGGGTTCTCGGTATTCTTGGATGTGTTTCGTTGTCTAGAGCAACAGGAGGACTGAAGTAAGTCATGGAAAAAAAATATTTTCATTGATTATTCTTTCATATTTTTGTTCAAAATTTATTCTTTAACTTTTGATAAGGCTTTAAGATCAAGGATCCTCAAGCTTTATAGCGTAACATAATTCATTGGCTAAGTTAAAAAAAAAGTCAATGACAGATTAAAACCGTTCAAATCGTTTTGTTTATTCGACAGGAATGCAGTGTTCGGAATTGGTTTTCTTCTTATTTTACTCACAATAACCATGCTGTTTTACCCAAGAAAGACAAAGGAGGAAGAACTAGCTGGAAGTTCAGGCAAAAAGGTACAACATTAGCCATTACATTATATAGGGATTGGAATTTCCAAGAGGTGGGTAGGGTCTGAGGAGGGTATACTGTGTAGAACCAGAATATATCCATACCTCCCCCATGGAGGGGGATTGGAATTTCCAAGGGGTGCAGGGAGGCTCTTAGGAGGGTATATTGTGTAGTACCAGAAAATATCTATACCTCACCCATGTAGGGGGATCAGAATTTCCAAGGGCTAGGGAGGGTCTGAGGAGGGTATATTGTGTAGTCCCAGAATATATCCATAGCTACTCTATCTATTATATGGATTACCATTACATTTACTCTTGACCAAGGGGTTTTACAGTAATATACTAGGACCTCTCTCACTTTTGTTACCTCCATTTTGTATTTATTTTCAGGTGGAAGTTGACTACATGATCATTCCAAGGACTGTTTTATTTTCCTTTATTTGTGTGTTTGCTGTGGTTGCTTTTGTTTTTGTGTTGATATTCCACTGGATGGAGCCGATTTATTCTCCAGCACTTACCACAAGAAAGACTTACAGCTTCTAAAATCCCAGAAAAAAAGATAAAAAAAAGAAAGAATGAAGGAAAGAATGAAGGATCTGTTTGCCTTGGGAACAACTTAATCATTACAGCTTTGAACTTTCTCAGAAAAAAAGTAGAGAAAGAAAGGAATAAGAAAGAAAGAAAAAAAAACAGATAATGAAAGAAATAAGAGAAGAAGGAAAGAAGTAAAAGAGAAAAAATAGAAATAAAGTATAAGGCCAAAGAGGAATAAAAAATGAAGGAAATAAAGAGGTAATGAAGAAAAGGAGGAAAGAAGGATTTAGGAAAGAAAGGGAAAAAGAAATAGAAAAGGAATAAGTAAGGAAAGAAAACAAAAAGGGATAAAAAAAGAAGAAAAAAAGAAAATGAAAAATATTAGAGGAAATGAAAGACAACCTTCAGCAACCAGTTTTAAAGCATTCTGATCGTTTTTCTTGCATTATCCATGTAAATATTATAGTATTTATGATGTTAATATATGATAACATGCTATTTAAATATGCCTTAAACTTTTATTGGAAATAACATCTCATGACAATGATCATAGTAATGATATTTATTTTACAAGCCAGGGTAACATAAGTTATGTTCAGTTTTGATATTTTTATTTTCTGCGGGTTTTTTTTGGCTCCAAATGATGGACAGATGCTTAGTGCTGTCAACAAGAAAGAAAGCTATAATATTTACTTGTGATTCAGCTGATGAAAATAATGCTGCACAAGACTATACACTTGGCTCCAGTAGCCTGCATTCGGCTGAACACAGGCTAGGTTCCAGAGGCTTTAGGAAGAATCATGAGGAGTAAGAGGAAGAGGAAGGGACAGGAAATGTCTAATGCCGAAAAGGTCAAACAAAAGACTTGCAATAGACGACTTGCACTAACAGGTCACGTGACCCCATCCCCCTTTAAACAAGCAAATGAGTCAAAATGAACTCCATAAATAAAAAGAGCACCTAAAATTTTGTAAAAGGGCGAAGTTTCTACTTTCACATCCCCATAATCCTTTGTGTGTTTGGGGGGTAACCAGAGGGTAAAAACCCACTTATTTTGCTGAAGGCTGATCTGACAATGTTGACAATACCTTGTTTGGTATCCAAAAATAAAATGAAGAAGTAAAAAACAGAAAAAGATAGAAGCTTGAAGACGTTTAAGGTAAATTTTAAACATTTTTTCGTAAGTCAATACATTTTCTGTAAGACCAAAACTCTTGATGATCTGTACAAGCAAAAATAACTTGGAATAAACTGATAATCAGTATCGTACAGATAAAAGCAGGTATAGTATAAATTCAATTAAGAAACCTTTCGATTTGGGACAGTTTTTTGATTGGTTACCCCCCAAAGACGCAAGGCATTATGGGGATGTGAAAGTAGAGAATACACAGTAGGTACCTAGTATGTTGGGATCCCTGTGGCTGGACTCCAAACTCCGACATCCACGACATCTCCCGGTGAAATATGTTTTTTCCGGTTTCAGGCCTGCGGTACATTCATCAGAATCAGTTTTTCAAGAAAATTAAACTCATAAAAGCAAAAATTAAAATCACACGATGGATCAACTATTTTCAGAGCTAAAGGAGATTGTTTTAAAAGATCTTTCTAAAGAAAAATCAAGCGATTCGCCAAGAAAAACAACCAAAGAAAAAGCGAAGAAAGATCTCAAAACTGGAGTTGAAGTCGAATTTGATAGGCCACTTGTTCTTAAAGCGGATCTCTGTTATATTGTATCGGCTGTTATTATTGAGAATGGAAAGGTGCTAATGATGAAGGAAGCGAAGAAATCGTGCCGAGGGTTGTGGTATTTACCGGCAGGACGACTGGAGAAAAATGAAAGCCTGATTGAAGGAGTGAAACGCGAAGTTCTCGAAGAGACAGGGCTACATTTTGAGCCAACGTCTTTAATTTCCGTGGATAACTCAAGGGTTTTAAGCTGGCAGCGTTTTAATTTTACAGGCAATGTTACAGGAGGGAAGCTGAAGACAATCAAGGATGAAGACAAGGAGTCAATGGAGGCAGGATGGTTTGAACCTCAAGAGGTGTTTTCCCGTTCACTTCCACTTCGGGCCCCGGATATCATCCCTCACATTAAATCAACGCTGAAATGGAAAGAAATGAAAGAAAGGGATCCCATTTATACTTCTCTTCCAGTGCCACTACCCCACGAGAGAATCAAAATTCAAGTTGTTTTAGTTTCATGTGATGGTAATAATGGAATCAAAATTTGTCTCGACAAGGAATACAGCATGGGATTTTTGCATTGTACCCCATCCACTCTCTTCTGCTCAGTGTATGATACTGTATACACCATATTAAAGCGAGCACTAGGGATCGACAAAGTTGATTACCAACTTCATGGTATCATAAGTATAGAACATGTCGGCAAACCCCACGGGGCTGCTGATGGTGCATGTCTCACACTGTTAGCAGAGTTCATACCTACTTCACAACCAAAGCCTTCAAATCCTGGCCGATATTTTTGGTTGGAAGCTGACGAAAGACTTAAAAGCAGAATAAGACAGCTTCTTGAAAAAGGCTGTGTTAAAATAGTTTAATTAAGTGGCTAACATAATTATAGAAACTGTGTAGGACATGTATATTTTTGATTTTAAATTAGTTATATACATGAAATATTTCATTTGAAATTTACCACTAATGCTACTATACATAGGTGCTATAGGAGCTGGTCATTGATTAGATGGGGAGAAGGGGGGGAGGTCTGATGCATTTTATTCTTGTTCTGAATATTTTAAAAGCCCCCAACTTCCTCCTGATGCAAAAAATGTTGTTCCCTTAATATTTCACATAAATCGATAGTGTCCTCCTTGAAAAGCTTGCACAAATTTTGTGACCATCCTTTCAAAGTTCCATGAAAAATATTGACCCCCTCCCCCCAGAAAAAATTTTCACTCCCCTCTATAGCTAAAAAATAAATGATCATTTCCAGCATACAGGCAATGCAGCTGTAGAGCTTGGTCACCATTTCTTTGGGTATCTGATAACAAAGGACCTATATTGAAGTCTTTCAACTAAAATTAATATGTAAATTTATTTTTTAATCAATCAATCAATCAATCTTTATTGTGCTCAATAGTTTACAGATATAAATAATAATAGTTGAAATTGCAGGTGATAAGAGCACAGCCAATTAGAAATAGCAATAGATAATCAAGCTAAGTGGCTGGGCCATGCGGAGAAAATCTATTTGTTGCTGATTGACTAAAGCAATGGTTAAGACAAGACAAGACAAAAACAAAAAACGACAAGACAAGATAAGCCGGTGACAAGACAAGACATTAGACAAGACAAAATGGGCTGTGCTCCTATCAGCTGGACTAGAAGTGCATCATAGAACTATCAATAATTTGATATTATAGAGGTTTTAAGATTTTTTTTTTTTTTAATCATGATTATAACTATTTTGTTTGCTATATATTTACTTCATTTATCTGTTTAATTGAATTGAGAGTAAATAAGAAATGAAATAAATGAACAAACAACTCAGACAAAAGAAAAAAGAAAGAAAAGAAAAAAAATAAAATAAAATAAATTCACTTTTTTGAACCCTCAATATAATGATCTTGTAAAACTAATAAAATAATTTAAAAAAATGGAAATTTGAGAAAATATCTAGTTCGAAATATTATGCAGGTTAGCATACCAAATTGTCAAGCATTATCTCAGTTATAAAATGCAGGAATTTGTTTTCGAAGACGTCTTCGCTTTGAGTTTTTTTTGGGTGTTCTGAACTACACTATGTTGTGCTAGTTGGAGAGCTCATGCATGGTGGGGAGTAGATCCACGGGGTACCGTTATTCTAATCAATTTATGTTACCTAGATAGATAGATTAGTTTGCATTTGTATAGGTCTTAAAAATTATTCTAAAGAGCATATAGACTCATTTTATGCGATTTTATGAATCTATTATTATTATTAATATTATTAAAGGAAGGAAGGATGGAAGGAAAGAAAGAAAAAAGGAAGAAAGGAAGAAAGAAAGAAAGTTAG